GCGAATAATCTCCTTCTCAATAATACCTCCATGATATAACTACTTTTTTAAAGCCACATAACCATAACCCAATAAAGTTCGAAACGTTGTATCATCGTCTCCCTCTCTTTATTTGTAGTTACATTTATACTATGATATTCAAAGATAGTCAGTGGATCTGTTGATTTAAAATAAGTAGTTTAATAATAATAATAATAATAATAATAATAATAATAATAATAATAATAATAATAATAATAATAATAATAATAATAGATGGACTTATATAGCGCAAATAAACGAGGTCTCTATGCGCTAGACAATATTGAAGTCAAGAACACAAAGAAAAAAGCCGGGGGAAAAAACAACAAAACAATAAGCTAGCACCCAAACCGAAGTATGGGGTTACACCATCACCGCCAACCGGAGATCTGTGTTTATGTACTCCGGTTAGCATCGGTTAAGTCTTGATCTTTTATGGGATCAGGTGCCTCCTAACCTGGAACAAACAACACTAGCTAGCGAGGTGAAACAGAGAAATTTAAAAAAAAGAAGAAAAAAGTAGCTATAAAGAGGCAAATAAAAAAGTTTTGAGTCGCTTCTTAAAGATGTCAATTGACGCTGATTCACGGACTTCATCATGGACTTTTATATTTAAAGTATTGCTGTGTTGTGGAAGCTACTTATTAGAAAGTCATAATGTCACAGTCACACCTGTATTTCCCGTCTACATTTTCAGCGTCAAATACAAAAACGTATGCAAAAAATAATTGTCTGACGCGTTTTGAGTACTCAAGCCTGGCGACGCAGCATTTTACAGACATGATTTGTGTTTGATTCAATCCTCTTGTGTTTAAAGCGTGGTATTGTGAAACAATATTTAATGCCGCTACGCACTACCGGTACACTGCAATCAATTAAAAATGTACAAATCGACACGCGTACATTTCAATAGACACAAAAGTATGTCTTAGTCGCAACATAAATTGTGACGTCGATTCGCGATTTACATAATTTGTAACGCGTAATGCGCAATCACAATGTATGATACGGCCGATACGCAGATTGGATTGCATTTACTCATACGTATTTAATACAATTACGCAAGAATTCCAATTTAAACCATCTCCAATAACGTTTTGAATAACTTCGAATTTGATTGTTGTCGGATTGATTAGCTTATAATTAGTTAAATCGTTTAATTGCAAACGTCTGCATTAATATCATGTTACACTTAATATCATATTTGGTGTCATTCTCTTTGATGCTATGACCGTTGTTAGACTTCCGCTGCGTCCCACACAACACTTTGCAGAAAATTAGTCTTTTTTGTAAGACCTATTGTATTTTTAACACTGTTTAATGATACTATATTTTGAATCGTATAACAGTAAAATTTGTTTATTTTATATCTCCTTCTTGTTGCCTTCTTTGTTTTTCATTTACTCTAACCATATTATCATTATAATGCATTTATTTATATTTTATTCATGGTAAAAAGTTTAACTCAAGTTGATTTTTCAACGTGGCAGTTTTAATAAATTGCTTAAGAACTAATCAGTTACAAACTAAAACATTCCTAAACTAAGAATATTAATTGCACACGTAATCACATAAAAATAGAGATTTATAGCACTTGGCATTAATAAAAGCGTAATACGATTGTGGGCCGAGATAAAATACTATGGACAAAATACAGTTTAAATTATTATCATTACTGTAATAATTTAGGCACACGTCACATGCACCAAGGAGTGTTAATAGCAAAATATCACTGTCCTTTCTTGTATGTGAAAACCCTTTCACAAAACAATCATATGTACACGATCCGTTAAACAAACTGAATCCCAATATAATGTTTACGGAGAGGAAAAGAAATCCCTGTCTCTTATACACATCTAGATGTGTATAAGAGACAGATAGACAACAGAACTTCTGTACTCCTTAGGGGTTTGATCCTTAGTAGATATAAAATATATATACCCCTAAGGAGTACAGAAGTTCTGTTGTCTATC